CTTCCTTCTTCCTCTCCCATGTTTTCTTCCATGGATCATCCAATTATTTTACTTCTTCTTCTAACATATCTTGCTACACAGTCACTTGCTCTTGCAGCTCAATCAAGAACACCAAAAGCCCGGATCACGGTTGTGGGAGCAGTTTATTGTGATACCTGTTCAACCAACACATTCTCCAGAAGCAGCTACTTTCTGCCAGGTAAAATTAATGATCTTCAAGGCCCCAAAACAGAGCATAGTTTCATTCAAAGTTACTAGCTAGCAGTCTTTTAAGTAATTCATTGTTGTAAGAGAGGTTTGTAGCTCAGGTGGTTAAGAGCATTTACTTCTGCACACATGAGGTCCTAGATTCGGTTCTTCCTCCCCCAATATTGCTTGTATATAAAATAAAAATAATAATTAATTGTCTCATATTGGTGTTTTAATTGCTTGTGTTCAACTGATCAGGAGTGGATGTTCTCATAAAATGCAAATTCAGAGGAAACTCACCCAAAACAGCAGAAGATATCAATTTTGAGGTCAACAGAACCACAGATAAGTATGGAGTGTACAAGTTGGAAATACCTGTTGTTGATGGAGTTAACTGCATAGATGGCTTTGCAATGAAGTCCATGTGCCAGGCAAACTTGATAGGAAGCTCATCCTCAGCCTGCAATGTTCCTGGTCTAAAAACAACAGCAGATGAGATATCAGTGAAGTCAAAGCAAGACAATCTGTGTATATACAGCATGAATGCCTTGAGTTTCAGGCCATCTAAGAAGAATGTGAGCTTATGTGGAGATAAGAAAGAGGAATTGGCAAGTTCCTTCAACTCATCCAAGTTCTTTCTCCCTTACTTCCCACCATATGGCTTCTTCCCTCGGCCTCAATTGCCATTCCCTCCACTACCACCGTTGTCATCACTTCCCTTTCCTCCTTTGCCACCTCTACCATCTTTCCCTTTCCCATTCCCACCATCTTTGCCTTTCCCATTCCCACGATTCCCTCCTTTTACTCCATCCCCAAATCCTTTGGCCCCAAACTCTCCACCTGCATTTAACTTAGGCGACCCAAGAACTTGGATACCTTATATCCCTAAAGTCTTTGCTCCTCCTCCACCACCTGCATTTAATCTTAGAGACCCCAGAACTTGGATACCACCATATATTCCTCCATCCCCTCCTGGTAGCCCTCAAAACCAGAAACCATAGTTTTAGTCTCATTATTTGTTTTACTTCACATATCTACAATAATACTATGTTCCATATATTATTGCTTACCATGGTCAAAAAAGCTTATTTGCCATGGTGAAGAAAAGCTTCTGTTTTATGTATGAGATGGAAAACAATTGGATATAACAATATTTTACATAAATCCCCTGCCCTAAAAGGCAGAAACATCTGTTTTATTATGTTAGCTTGTGACTAGTGAGCCTCCCTACACCACTAGCAAATTAAAGCATCTACAGTGGGGGGTGTATATGGGAGTGTATGTTAAATATACACCCCGAGTCACTGGAATCGTCTCCAATGGAGAGATGTAAATGGATGTAAATATACATAACCACTATGGGGATGTAAAATAAAATGTATATTTACATCTATTTTTACATCCCTTGCATGCGGGACCCATCCGAGAAAAGAGAAGAAAAATGAAGAAAAGTCAACATAAAAAGGTGGGACCCACGGCTACACCCTCGAATTTACACCCCCCAGTTTGGGGTGTAAATTCGGGGGTGTAAAGCCACTTTTACATCCCATTTACACCTCCGGGGGGTGTAAATATGTTTTTTGCTCCAATAGGAGGGTGTAAATTCAGGGGTGTAGCCGTGGGTCCCACCTTTTTATGTTGACTTTTCTTCATTTTTCTTCTCTTTTCTCGGATGGGTCCCGCATGCAAGGGATGTAAAAATAGATGTAAATATACATTTTATTTTACATCCCCATGGTGGTGATGTATATTTACATCCATTTGCATCTCCCTATTGGAGACGATTCAGGTGACTCGGGGTGTATATTTAACATACACCCCCATACACACCTCCCCACTGTGAATGCTCTTAGAATGATTGTTTAAAGGTGATAAGATCATGAATTTTTATCAAAAATAGCCAAAATTTACCTCATACTTTTATAAATGTCAGTTTTGTAAAAAACTTTCCAAAATAGCCAAAAACTCACTTAAATAGACTCAAATGCCCGCAAAACTAAAACCCAAACCCATATAAAAATTAAAACTACTACTATTTAATTATATATATATATTTTTTGGACAAATTCGGGAAACATTAGGAAAAGGAAATTGCACTTGTGGCTTTTCTTGGTTGTGCAAAGTTTCTGAGAGAATACTATATAAGTTTTTTTTTTTAAAATAAAAATTCTTCCATCATGAACATTAAAGAAGCATGATGGATTCCAGTGAAAACAAGAAAAGGAACCATGTTGTCCATTAAAGGGATGAACAGATATGGATCTGATACTACAATATTTAAGATGACACTATGCAGTATCATATCATGTATATATGACTCACTTCATAAACAGGTCAAAATGATTATAAGCATATAACGAGATAGTTAAGGATCAAAACCTATATATATATATATATATATGTTGTGGACTGTTAAGATCCCATGAGCACGACCATGCTTGGGCCTACATATGTTTATTTAAAAAAATGGTAGAACGAACAAAGAAGCAAGGGAAACAAAATAAATAAATAAATAAATAAAAATAACGGCACTTAGCGTATAGGGAGTTCGACTAGTGTTGCAAATGTTCCTATTGAATTCTAAATTTTTATCTAGTAGAATTTTGCATTTTAGATTTATGTGGTTTTAGTTTTGAGGGCATTTGAGTCCATTTAAGTGGATTTTTGGCTATTTTTGAAAGTTTTTTACAAAACTGACATTTATGAAAATATGGGGTAAATTTTGGCTATTTTTGATAAAAACTCTAAGATCATATTAAAATTAAATTAAGCCGTGAAAGGACAAAACCCAAGTCCAAAAATGTGTCTTCTAATATCCCAAAAAAACGAATAATAATAATTCCTTTTGAATTTCCAGAGTGCGACAATTTCAAAAACCCCTTTGGACGTTGAAATGAATATTATAGATATGATAAAAGCATGGGACATTTTGGAAAAAGCAAAAGGAGAGAGAAAAATTGTAAAAGAAGCAAAAATGGACAAAAATGCCCTTATTTATTTTTAGATTTCCTAAGGAATCCAATACATTTGCATGTCTTTGATTTGAAAGTTGAGTGGTTTTTTTGTCTTTTTTGAAAAAGCTTTGGCTTTTTCCAAAAGTGATATTTTTTTTATGTCTAAAACCTAAAAAACCTTAAAAGCATAGCTTTGCTCCTTAAAATTGAGTAGGGCACGTGTCAAAACTCCATTTGTTTTGAGGAGAAGCTCCTCGTTGAATGCTGAAATGAAAAACTTGTACGCAAAGGGAGGAAACAAAGACTAAAACTAAGCTCTGGGTCATAGAAAAGTTGCTGATCATAGTCCTACCATGCCACATGCCATATACAGGGCTTGAGTTCATTCAGTTGTCAGCTTCAACTATTTTTTTCTCCTTTCCAATTCTAAGATTCTAACTGCACAAATCCGGCAATTGTTTCCAGGTAAAGTACACTCTAGCCTTCTATTCATTGGAATTTACTGCTTCTGACTATAAATATATATGTACATGTAAAATTGAGACCGGACGCTCACGCTGCTAGCGTTTCATTCGCTTTCAACTTTGCACTTTAATAGCTTCGTTCCTTCTAGCTTTCTCACCTTCTCAAGCAGCTGATCGATGGTGTTAGACGCATCCTGCAGACAGAATACAATAAATAAATAAAATTATCTCAGAGAATAGACAAGTGAAAGTGCTAAAATGGTTGGCGAGAAATCCTCACTGTTAGACTTTTCCTCAGTCTTTCCTCCTCCTTTTCTCGCTCAGCCTTTTCTGCCACTAATATTTCAATTAAAGCTGATTGCTCTTTCTCCATCTCTTCTGTTTTTTGTTTTTCATGAGTATCAAAATTCAGTAAGTCATAATATAATCTACAACCAGAAAGCAACATATAACAAATGATGCAGCATGCCCTTCTGCTGAATATCAAGTTTCATTTCTTCATAAGTCCTAGTGATCTAAATTTTATTTCAAGGCATCCAATTTGTGCCAATCAATAGTATATCTATAGCTTGTACAAAATATGCAAAGAAATTCAACAAGCCATGCAGTGGAATGATCTTGGTACTCTTTTAACGTTCATCAACAGTATATCATAAATATACAATAAATTAAACGCAAATACAAATTTAAGATAACTATTTAAAGCAACCGTGGTGCACTTACTTCATTTTCAAGTGATTTACACCTAGCTTTCTCAGAACCGAGGTCCTTTAGCAATTTAAGCATTGTCGGACCACCAGTTTCCTTCGATCTGCAAAAAGAAAAGGAAACAGTCAAATGGTCGATTTTGGATATAAAGACCACTGGCACAGGCAAACAACATGGAAGCTTAATTTCATAGAACTGTTGACACCACCTTTTGATGGCTTCATGAGAATCTTTTTTCGACTTAGTTGAACACTCAACATTGCCAGCAGTAGAAACATGCTCCGCTCCTTTTGTAGTGGGTGTCTGTTAATGGGAGAGAATATAAGCAATACAGGTAGAAAAAATAAAAAGATAAAGGAGTATTTGGAAAACAAAAAAATACTGCACAAGTCAGTTGTTTTTTAGGTACAAGCACAAATCAGTTCTTTGATTATGGAGATGGATGGAGTATGGAGTGGCTATTGACTCTTTCTTTGGTACCAAGTAATATAACATCATATACAGATAAACTATGGTTGATAGATAATTAGCAAGACAATTAGGCATATGAGCAGCTTGAGGTAGTGCTTAGCAAAAATTAGTGAACACAACAATCTATTAACTGTCTAATGCTTGACAGTTGATATAGAGTTATTACTACTAAAAGAGAAAACCAGATAGACTTAACCATTTATATAGAGAGCTGTTATTGCCACTCCAAAAAAGTTATCATGCACTTCTCCTTTATAAGAACGTAAGGGAGAAATTGCACATGGAGGAGTATAGGATGACTTTTTTGGAGTGCCAATATATCCACGACATTTATTTTTTCATTTGTGCCCAGCCCACCACAAAGTGAGAAGTAATGGGGAAAAAATGCCTTGGAGTGTGAATGCCTAAGCATTTGATGGCCCCTTGCGTCTGAAGCAGGGTCTTGCTGAGGTTCAATAGAAGCATATGATGCCTCATCTTCACTTGAAGCATCCATAGGTGATGATCCTTTTTCAAGTTTCTTACTGGACATTTTCATAACTCCCCCAGTACTAGAACCATGGCAATTCTGCTTTGTGCCTGCGGATTTCTCTTGATTAGATGCTAAAGGTTCTCTTTCTGGAAAATCACTCGAACGTCTTCTTGGAGCATACCCAACAATCTGGCAATTTTTAGACCTAGGAAAAACGGATCACAGTAACTTAAATACATGTAACATCAAGTTACTTAAGTGGCATGAAGGAAAAGAACAAACCAGAAATCTTTCTGCATTGCAACCAATCGTGCCTCAAGTCTTGAAAGAACAATTGTCCGCTCAAAGCCCTGTTTGTCGTGAGCTGGTTCAACAAAATTAGCTTCCAGCACACCTATTACAGAGAGATATGACAGGAGTGGGGTAACATAACTTATCCATATTATGATTAGTCACTGCAACACCAAAAGAAAACACAATAAATGTTTTACAAAATACCTATAACTCCACGACCATCACTGCCAGCAGCATTCCAAACCCTCCAAAACGGCTGAAAAATAAGATTTTTTTTTAGTTGAGGAAAAACATGACAAGAAGGTGGAATATACTGGTAATATTACAAGAACGAAGTCCTTCCTGTGCATTCTACCAAAACCAACGATGATATGGGACAAATTGAAGGCTTTATTATGCTACAAATTGATAATATCTCGACCATGGAATAAATGCTACAAATTGATAAAGAAGACACAGACAGCAAACCTTAATCAGTCGATTTTTATGATAAACATTGAACCCTTGGACATCAATATGAAATCGCGCATCCTTTACAAAACCAAGAGTGACATTGGCAATCATCTGTAAAAATAAGAAAAATCAGCATATTTGTAAACTTGAAAACAGAAAATAATGCTAATTCCAAAACTAAATTTCGAAAGCATTACATTCACATCTTTTGGGATTCCCTCCGGAAGATGCAGAGGTCTGTATGTTACCTCCTTAGTTAACATCATGTCATTCACTATATTATGATGTTCAACATCTTTCCCACGGAGAATAATTCTGAAGTTATATGGAAGCTTGAGATAGAGAATTGATGCATAACTCTGGCAAAAATGAAAAATATGGTATGGTTACTGATGTAAGACCATATGTTAAAATCTCTTCAAGAATTGCAGTTCTATCACAATGAATGCCAACATTCATTCACGTTGAATGATCTCTTCAAACATACCCGTAACGAATGTCTATACGTTAAGAAGTGTCTAGAGTTGGGATATTGTTTTGCCATATGAATCTTCTTCTCATCCCTATTGACTCCTCTAATTTGAATGTCCTGTCATTTCAAACATGAAAGATAAGAACCCAAATCTGACAGTGCAGGTACCCTTTAAGTTTATATGAATTCAGAGTCAAAATCTCACATGGGGATCAGTATCGAAATCAAGTTCCAGTTGTCCTTCATCATCTTCCCAAAGGTTGTAGATTACGATACGTGTACCATGCTCTTTAAAGAGCATAAACTACAGAGCACAACAAAGAAAGAGATAAATAACACTTTTTTCTTTGGTCACCTGAAGCATAGCTATGAAATGACAATGTGGTTTATCAAAACAAGAAATATAGGCTATTTTATGACCCAGTTGAAAGTGAAAGGAACAATACTAGTGACAGTTGTGCAAAAGATTTGGTGTTTCAAGAAAAAGCTTGAAGAACTAGAACTATGATAAGAAATTAGAATAAATAAAGGATTACAGATCAAACCATACGAGTAAAATATACTACATCAACAGAAGCAACAGAACACTAAACTGGATCTCTCTCTCTCTCTCTCTCTCTCTCTCTCTCTCTCTCATAGTAAGATTATGCCACAATATGAAAAAGCAAAAAAAGGAATTGGACCAGATGAGAAATGCAATGTTCAAAAATATAATTTGAAAATAAGAAGTAAGACTCACCTGCTGAAGAAGAACTTCTTCACTTAAATATGGAGACCACTGCACTATGGTCGCTAGGTTTCTCTCCCAATCATCTAGAGAACCCCGCACCATCCTGTTCCATCCTTGACCTCTTTTCTCGTAGTCAACCTTACCGTAAAATTGAATCATAGTTAAGAGAATAATTCAAAGGAATTCATGCAAAATAAATGTTTTGTGGTGGCAACTGATCAATTTACATAACTTCTCCAATTTTCCTAGTGATAAGCTTCTCCTCTAAAATATTCATCCTCAATTAACTACAACGTCTTTTGTTAATCTTCTTCTGAAAAAACATCACAGCTTATGCTAACAATCAAATCCTTGAGTTCACAAACAAACGAGAAAATAGTTTAGGATATGTAAAGAGTTTGAGTCCTTTAATAATAATCTGTAAGAACTTTAAAGCTACTTCTAGTTTGATTTCTTTTGATTTAAGTAACAAAAATAGAAGTACAATACATAAGTCAAGAATGGTTGAAATTGTTGTTGCCATTATTTACCAAAAAAAACAAAAAATAAGAACAACTGTTCTTACCATGGGAACCACAATATCTTCCTTTCCAGTATCCCTCAAAAATGAATAGGATAGCATTCCAATGGTCTGTGTCGGGCTAAGAGAAAAGAAGACAAGTCAGTTAAATTTCATTTAGACAATCTAACAAATGTGAAGCGGCAGACAAACGTAAAACGGGAAGTAACAAAAGTCTCATGCAAAACTTTAAGACCAAAAACAATCATAAAAATTTAAGCCAGATTTTAATTTAGACTGATGAAAACCAAACCTTCCCCCATCAATCCCCCGACAACGAGAAAACACTATAACATCTGCTCCAAGCCTCATAGTACTCGTCTTGAACCCATTGCCATCTAAAAGAAAAAGAGAAATTGAAATCATTAAAACAATGAGACTGTGATAATTGAAACAATCTTCCTTTATAATACTTGTTCACTACCCCTTTACATATAAATTTTCAAATTATAGTCTCATGTAAGTTATGCTGCAGCTCACATTGACCAATAGTATTTGCCATTTTGCTTTTTGCGGAATACCCAAGAGACATGCATTGTCGCATTTTATCAGGAGCCATTCCACCACCATTATCTGTAGTCAAAGGGTTAAATAAAAACAAAGCATTAGCATTTGTATAAGAGAGTTGGGGTCATGTTCTAAGTAAAAGCAAAAGAATTTGGGAATGGTAAAATTCAACTGTGAAATCAAAAAACAGCACAGATGGGACTGCGTCTAGTTCATCAGGAAAGAATGACAAAACATATGGAGTAATGTACCTTCAACCATCAACATCTCACTGCCATCTTTCTTATTTCTCAGCATGTCAATATGAACATAACTGGCTCCATAGCAAATCTGGCCCAAAAAAAAAAAATTAGGATTGAAAAACAAATCAATATTCCTTCAATTTTCTGAAAGCAAGATAAAAGATGTTCAATTACCTCGTCCAAAGCATTGTCTAGAAGCTCTGCAAAAGCTGCAAACAGAGTATCACAGTCAGTCGAATTCTTTCTATTCATTTAAAAGCAAAATCAATAAAGAACCAATAAGTATAAATTCAACTTTCACAACTTTAGTGATAATGTACCTCCCAGAGCCCACTTATGACTGGTGGCATTTGAGTGGAGAAACTTGGGATGAACCCTGACATGGTCCATTCCAACTGCAAAAGCCAAAAGTACAAAAAGAAGATTAACATCAAAAGCACAAATCCAAAAGCCTAAAACAGTCAAACAAAGACATGCAAAAACTTGCAGAGCAGAAAACAAACAATCAAACACTTGGAAAACAAAACAACGAGTGCAGCACTTTTGTACCAGAAGAGAACCCAGAATTGGCAATGCCTTCACTGCCACCCTCATAATCCCCTGCTTTCCAAAACTGCTTGCAACTCCGTAAAACCGGACCCACTTGGTTATCATTATTATTATTACTATTTACACCAACACTCTTCGCAACGTTCTCTGCCGAAACCTGAGCCAGAGGCACCGCCTTGGCAATTTCCAAAGGCGTAAGAGGATGCAGAAACCCTAGAGGGAACGTGAAACCCCCGTTTCCATTACTTTTCAGCTTCTTCGTTGTCGGAGCTCCTTCGCCTCCTGCCAAATCACGATTTTTCTTCAACTTGCTCGCTACGGAAGCCAATAAGGAACTGCTGTCTAGGTCTTCAACGTCCGAAGAGTTAACGGAACTAGCGCTACTACTATCGCTGCTTAGGTAAATAGGCGAAGGATTGGGAATTTGATTGGTTTTCTCCGTGATTTCTTGCTTGACGGATACGGTAGCGGCGGCCATGGTTTGAAGGACAATGTGAGAGATTTACAGCGACTGAGAATTATGGTTTTGGGTGGTTTAGGGTTTTTTTGGGGGGCTAAAGAATGGGAGAGAATTTTAAGGATTTTGAAATCGAAGGGATAAATACAACGACAGAGAGAAAGAGAGAGAGAGAGAGAGAGAAGAAGAAGATGAAGCGATATATTCTGGCTCGCAGACGTTTGTGCGGCGAAGTGGCGCGACTCTGTTACATTAAATAGAGTAGGAATAGGAAGTATATAGCCTCTAAAGAACTAGTTTTGCACGTGAGAAGCACGTGGATATTATTTTTGTATGCACAGCACATCGTGTTCGTGTACGGCGGTTACTCGCTCAATTGGCACTCCAGGTTTTTTTCTCTTATTTTTATATAAAAAAATGTAGTCCAAGATTTTCAAAACGGCATTTGATTTGTGAGGAAATTTATATTCTAAGAGCATCTCCACCCACAAGGGCTAAGTCTAAGGCAAGGGCAAGCAAGGGCTGCCACTATTCACGTGAATAGTGTTAGCCTTTGCATTTGTGGTTTCACCCATGAGGGCAAAGTCTAGGGCAAGTCTAAGGCAATTACTATTCATTGTACTTTATTTCCTATTTGTTTATACTTTAAACTATTAATTTTGATAAGCTTTTTAGATTATATTTTCGGTTGTCACGTGTCACTATTTATTATAAAATTTTCATTTAAAATTTAAGATAACATTTTTCGAATAAAATTTTCAAATAAAATTTTTGGATAAAATTTTTCGAATAACATTTTTGGTTTTGCCTTGACTAATCTATTAAAAAAAA